TAAGCCTACGGACAATCAGCAAAAATTAACCAATCAGATTTTTTAGCTTCAACAACAGCCAAACTTCAGCATCAGCCGTAACATAAAATAATAAATTGCATTACAGTCAGACCTCCCTAAATCAACCTCTCTAAATACATGCCTCTGCTTGGTTCCAAGTAATATAACTATTAACTATTATTGATTTTAACCTCTCTAAATGCACATTTTTGAAATTGTTTACTATGGTCCCGAGGGTGTGCATTTAAAGAGGCCTGACTGTATTGCTTTTGTTAAACATTTTAATATATGTCGGGGATGATGCTGAAATTTGGAGTCTTAATTTGAAAATATAAACCTTACTAAAATCTATACTTTTTTATTATAAACACTAACCCTAAATTCTAATCGAACTATAAAAAAAAAGCTAAACAAAACACCCCAAAAAATTTTTAATTTTTCACAATAACTAAGTCAAAATTTCAGCATCATCCAATTTCAGCATCATCTCCGACAATGACTATTATTCTATTTATATTTCTTAATCCTTGGCAATACATTTTTGATCCTGCCGTATTACATTCTACAAATCTAATAAAGCAATCTAATCCTAACACAATAGTAACAATATAGATGCAATATTTTCCTGATCTGAATTTTTGAATAATATGCTGTGCGCATGTTTACAAGTAGAAAACAGAATTTTCTACTTTGTACACATACCGAATTTGCGCGATTAAATTAGATGTCTCGAAATAACTCCCCGAGGATTATTTCGCGTAGTTACATCCAGAATATGATGATTAAAAATAGAAATTGGAACCGGTTAAGTTTTATTTGGCATTATTATTATCCTCAAAATGATTGAAACAATAAATACCACCTATGAGGACAGTTAAAATTTTTTTTAAAGTTTATCATTTAACCTTTGAACATGGAAGTTACATTTCTATATTTTTTAATAATTATGTTAGGCGGCGTTCTATGCGATGCAGCAGCTCAAAGTAAATTGATTGCTTTAAAGAAAATTCGTGTGATCACAGTCTTAATATCATTACAATTACTTATTTTTAAAATTCTTAATAGCAAATCCCTCTATAATAGGAGAATGGAAAGAGATCAAAAAGTATGTACCATAAATTTTTAAAAAGTTAACACACACTTTAATCATTTTAATTATGCTCAGAACCATAGTAGGGGCTATGCATATTGCTTTAGTTCGACCCACAAAAATTATCATTATTGATAAAGGTATTTATTAGCACTTAGATATACTGTGTATACTGTGTAGGAATTGGAACCAGTCAAAAAATTATGGCCGGTCAAAATCTTTAACTTATCGATTTTAGCCAGTCAAACCTTCAATTAAATCATTAATTTTACATCAGCATAGTCAAGCAAAATACGATTACATTTGTTCTGTCGCTACGTGTAGCATATACCATATAAAAATTAATTACTGAAATTTTTTTGAATTTAGTGATTAGGATAGTGATCAGATTATTAAATCATTGTTTATATAAAAACGGCTTTCATGTTTTTAGATGTTTAGAGCGAATAATTTTACTTTTAAATTATTTTAGCATAAATCTATTTTTGAGGCATGCCTATAACAATGTTACGTTTAACGTTAATTCTCTACAATAATTCTGTTTTATACGTATTATGTATATACTGTCGAAACCTCTCAAACCGATACGCATGGTGAACAGATTTGTATCAGTATTGAGATGTTATCAGGGTTGAAAACATTATAAACTATTAGATTTATATAGCAGAAACAGACTTGGTGAATTAATTTTTTATCAGATTTGACAGGTTATCGATTTTGACACGATCGGTTTTGGGAGGTTCAACAATAATTTAAAAAAAGGTAAAGTGATTCGCTCTAGACATCTAAAAACGTGCAAGTCATTCTTTACTATTAAATATATATATATATCTAGTAATAAAAATAATCTGATCAATATCCTAAACCATTAAATTCAAAAAAAACAAATTTTCAATAATTAATTTTTATATGGTATATATTAAACATAGTTTGGATTTGCATAGTTGACCGAATGCACATGTCAACCAATCATTTTCTCCGACAAAACAAATTTCATGATATTAATCGCAACTAGGGTCCCACATGGGCTGGGCTGAACAGGAACCTGAATAATTAATTATATATGAGGTCATATTTGAAAAGTAGATATTGGCGTAAAGGTTATACAGTCGACTCTGGATATAACGAACCTTTTTATAACGAACACACTATATAACGAACTTTTTTTTAAAAATTTATTATAGGTTCGGTATATAAAATATAATAAATTACTATATAATGAACTTTTTAAAATTTTTACTATAAGACTCGTCAGTTCGTTATAAACAGAGTTGACTGCATATGTTTCAAAGTGGATAATCAATAAGGAAGTTATATTTAAAATTTGGCTAATGAAATTAGTAGAAGTCTCAGATCTGAGATATACGGTATTTTCGCGTAATAACGTTCATCAGTGTGTTATTTTGAGTATATGCGCATCATTTAGAGTACGCGTATGAGCGTTATTTGAAATTTTTAATTTTTTTTATAACCCATAAAAATGCTCCGGAACTAAGGTTTAGTACTAAGCGAGCCTACTTTTAAGCTTCATTAGAAGTTGTTTTTCAGAGTGGGACAATTTTAATTGTGGTAAAATCATCAAAACGGTTCACTAGTTCTCCCGCAATGACTCTTCAAAGTTTTAGAACATTTATCTTTGTTTATATGTAGGGTTCGAGGCACAGAGGCATGGGCATGCCCTTTGGTGCATGCCTTAGGAGGCATGCCTTAACTCAGCACATTTTTAATAATATATTTTAACTCAGGGCATGCCTGTAAAGGCAGGAATGCCTATAGAGACATGCCTAATTTTTTACCCGCGCCTTTATATGATATGCACATTATCTGTTATGTAAACAAAGATAAAAACTTTGAAGAGCCATTGCGGGAGATCTATTGGACTATTTTGGATGATATTGCCACCATTAGAATCGGTCCAATATGAAGAACAACTTTTATTAAAACTCAAAAGTAGGTTACTTAATCCAAACCTAGTTGCAGATCAAATTTTAAATTTAACTATAAATAAGCACCACTTACAATAGATGCGCGTTATTTGGGACGCACAAGAGTGTTATTTTTGAATCCATATATCTGTATATGCTAATTTTAGGGATTACGATTTTCTAAATAACGTTCATGAGCGTTATTACGCGAAAATACGGTACTAATGTAAAAAATTATGTCAATAACGGAAATTTCGGAAGGCAGAATATCAATGAACGTAAAAGACAAGCATGGTCTGAAAATTTTTGGGAGCAATATCGAGTATTATATTTGAGATATGGATAGCATGTGTCAATATGAAAGTCCTAAATTTTACTAAGTTGCCAAATATAACCTCATATATAATTATTCGGGGTACTGACTGGACTATATGGGATCTTTGCTAAGAAAATGACCCTCCAAGCCTATGTTGATTATGTGAATACAAATTAAATTTGCCAATTATTTAGTTATCCAATTTGAATGAACTTTTTTATTTTGTAAAGTTAAATAAGCTCTACAAAATAAAAACAAGATCAACTAGATGGCCGGAATATTTAATTTCTATTCACAAAATCAACATAGCTTGGAGGGTCAGTTTCCTAGCAAAGATCCCATATGAATTTTGTGTTGGACTTGGTATCAAAAATGCGGATCCATATGAAATATAGATTGTGCTATGTGGTCATGAACCGATTGGATTTAGATCTAAATAAATATTTAGTACATATTTTTTTTCTGGATTTCGAAATATCCAGCCCGGCCCATGCAGAATCCTATGACCAATATCTTATAATTATTATATCCAAAGTCGATTCCAAATTCTTGACCGCCCATGTTGGTCACAGCATCGTCCATAATGAGGGCACAATAACATTGGCCTTCCAACTTTACTCTTATTGTTACTAATCATTCGACGCATCAGTCAACGTCCTAATCGACCGGTTAATCGTTTAATGATTGAATGGTTCCAATCTCTAACATCGTTTAATAAGTATTCAATACATAATGTTTTTTAAATTTTAAAATTTGCGAAATAGCTGGAGAGAATCCTGAAGCAGTTTACCCTGATGGACGTTATGCATACTCTGTAGAATATGATTTAACTACAGGCAATAGTCGTATTCTTAGCTTAAAAACAAATACTTTTTGTTCTGCTGGGTCTTTCTTTGAAAATGGTACACTAATCGAATCTGGCGGTTCCGAAGAAGAGGTAAGCTTTTAGGCAGTTAATAAAACAGAATAATTTGAAATTTTAAAAATTGTTTAATAAATTATCCATTTTACGCAGTTTGGTGCACTGAATGGTTCCCAGGCGCTTCGATTATTCCATCCATGCGACGACAGTAGTTGCGATTGGTTAGAATTCCCTGCATATTTGGACACTGCAAGATGGTATAATACTATGGTATCGCTTCCAGATGGTAGAATTTTCAATATCGGAGGATCAACAATAGGAACGCCCCTTAACAACGCTTCGGTCAATAATCCTACGTATGAATTTTATCCTAAAACATCTAAGGGTGTAAAGTTCCAATTTCTTGTAGATACGTGAGTAGTTCTGGTTCTTTTACATGCCGATCGACGCAATTCTTTGATCTAAAAAAAAATTTTTTTTATAACAATTTAGATTGCCATATAATCAATATCCAGCAGTATTTGTACTTCCCGGTCCACCGGATCAAACTTGGTTGTACATATCAGCTAACAAGAAAGCTCTGATTTGGGATTATATTAAACAAGAAATAGTTAGGACATTGCCAGATATTCCTGGTGGTCCACGCACGTTTCCGGCTACCGGCACAATATTTCTTTCCCCATTACATTATGAAGATAATTACGCTGCTGAAATTATCGCTTGCGGTGGATCTGCTGAACAAAAACCTGATGCAAAAAGTGATAAAGATTGCGCAAGGCTTAACTTAGCGAAACCAGATTCTGGTTGGACTTTAGAACCTTTCGGAGATTTCGATACAGGACGTTTAATGGGTGATTACATTTATATGCCTGATGGCAAAGTACTTATTGTAAATGGTGCTGGTAGAGGATTCGCAGGTTGGGGTA